CTCGTCACTTAATCAGCAAGTAATTAAAACACTGGGGGTTTCTTAATCTGCATTTTTCATACCTCTTAATTAATGGAAAAAGATTAAAATGTAAAAAAAAAAAAAAGTTATTTACAAGCTTGACCATTACAGAGTTGCTTTGCCCAGAGCAGAGCATGAAGACAGAAACCAGTTGGAGCATGCCAAAACTGCCGTGTGTGGCCAGCTTGGTGAACCAGAACTAGTCAGTGGGGCAAAGCAAAACCAAAAGCATTTTAAAAGTCTAGCCCCCTCCCAAGTCTGCATTGACAGTTAAAAACACTACTGGGAGAAGGCGACTGGAGGACTTTGGGAACTTGAAGGGCAAGTCCAGAGTGGTGTACCACAAACTCTAGTCAGAGCTTCCGTTTCTCCACTTGTGTGTATTAAAACTTGTTACATGTAAACACTGTCCTTGGACCATCATTACAACGCAGCGAATTGAGCATCCCACAGGAAACGCTCAGACTCCAAATCAGATCCTAATGCTCCATGATCCTGTAACGCTAACATAAAACAGCAAGTTCTAGGCCAATCACATTCTAACATCATTGTGAAGTTGTATTTCCCAGGGTGTTTGGTAAAATGGTCTAAAATGATGCATTTCCCAAAGCCAAGAAAAAGGTAAAAGGAAAAATAGATTTGAGCCATTGAAACACAGCCCAGGCCAGTTCAGTCAGCACGCTCGGCCTTTCCTCCATCACCGGTCCATCATGCTTAGAATCATCTCCGGAGTGAGGTCTCCGTTGGGAGCTTCCACTGCGGCAGGCTGAGCTTCCTCCTCTTCCCCCACCGTTTCTGCGTCGGGTTCTTTCTTTACTTCCACTATAATGTTTTCAATTGCACCAGTGTTCTGGTCTTCAACCTGAATGATTGCTGCAGCTAGGAAGGGGGAAGAGAGCGATCAGAGCACCGATCTCACAGGTGGGGGGTAACAGACACTTTTCTACCAAGCTGGGCAGTGTCTTACTGAGCTGAAGACAGAAGATTTACCATGGGTTTGTTCAGCAATGCAGCCCTGGTTTACCCAGACTACCCAGGGCCCCAGCATCTCAGCAGCATGTGTGCTGCCAGACTGCAGGGCCTCACTGCTGCAGTGCCACTTGGATGAGGCCCCCAATGGCTAGCAGAATCAGGGCCAGCCCAGGCTTCGGCAGTGCTCAGGTGGACTCCCCACAGCAGTGGCGTGAGAAGGGAGGGGAATCGGGAAAGGAGTTCAGCCTCTCCATGCCTGACCTCAAGGCACGTGCTCCTCAGGAGGGGGGAGGGAGGGCGGGAAGGAGAAGAGAGGAGACCTCCATCTCCAAGGCCCCTACACAGCTTCCCTGCAGCAGCCATGCTGCCAGCACACGCATCTGCAGGCCACCAAGCACTGGGGCAACACAACCTGCCCTATTTCCTAGCAGAGTAGCAAAGCCACATTGATCCCATGGGGGTTCATGACTCAACCCTGCCAAGCGCCACCTGGCACAACGCTGCTTTGCAGAGGCCCAGAGACGTGGAGATGGACAGACAGACAGGCCACGAGAACGTGGAAGGGCAGCAGGCGGCAACCACTCCTTCAAAGGGGCAGATTCACTCTGACAGGAGAGTTTTTCCAGGACCCCGTACAAGCCTCCCGTTGGGCATGTAACCCCTCTGGGCAAGGGCCATGCCCGCCTGGAGGCGCTCACAGCTCTATCAATGAACAGTGCACTGAACGCGCATGCCCGGGCTGGTTAATAGCCCTGACTAGCCTCCCTTCGCCAGAGCACCTGAAAACACGTCACAAAGATGGGCAGCACCCTCCCATTCTCCTCCCCTCCTCTGAGCAGCCCCGGGTGGATAAGCTCTGTTAGGGTCTGTCAGGAAATGCCGGCACCAAAGGGAGTCCCACAGGCAGGGCCCCAGTAAAAGGGTAGAGAGGCCATCAGCAGATTTTAAAAGGACTCAGCTCCACGGTAAGGGCTTTCCCTTCACCCTCCCGTGGCTCAGGCCGTGCAGACAGAAGCAGAAGGCCAGAGTCCCAAGTGCAGGCAATGCCATGTCAGCTGTTAATCCAGTAGGCATATCCACTGCCCCCAAGCTGCAGAGCCTTACCAGTGCCCCCGTCCCTGACATGCCTGGCCTTGGCCCCACCTGTTACAATTTATGATCATGTTTCATTCTGGAGGGTCTTTAGTGCTACCTCTCATGCCATGGGAGGGGTGAGGAGGGAGGTGGCACTTTGACCAGGGCCTGGCATCTCTTTGGCTCTCTCTTTTATACCCTCTTGCAGCTCCCTTGCCACGCCTGACCGGTTGATTAACCTGTCTCGGAACCTCTCTCTCTCCAGCCCAGCTGTGTGTGAGCAAATGCAACACAGAGTCTTTGTTCGCACACATTGTAACACAAAAGCCAAGCAGACAAACGAGACCCACAGGTGTATCCCAAGCGAACAGGTAGGCCCCATGCTGCATCATCATAGCTAACGCTCCTAACACTCCATTTGAGAGGAACAGAAACCCTCCAGTGGTGCCCAGAGGTAACTTACGCTGGGGTTGTTTTGGTTGGTTGGCTTTGCCTGGCGGCCTTCCTCTTCGTTTCTTAGCAGGAGGTGGTGTGGGAGCCACTGGCTCTACTTCCGGTTCAGCCTCAATTTCTACTGCTGTCTCCTCCTCATCTTCATTGTCATCCAGATCTGGTTCAGCATTTTCCTCTATAGAAAAGAAAACCAGATAAATCTTCAGTTTAGGCAGGGACAAAACACCAGCGCTAGCATCCTACAAGGAGTAGGAACCACCCCGTCTTCAGTCTGAGCTGGTCTCAAAGGAAGGCAGTGAAGGAAAGTGATCCTGCTACCAACAAGCAATTCGTCAGAGGGATTTTCAATCCTGGGCTATTCACCTTCGAAGGCTAGGAAAGGGGAACATGGCCCTACAGCCAGTGCCGGTATTACCCGTATCATTGTGAAACATTTTACAGTGTGAAGGGAAGAAAGGAGCAGCCCGTCTGGGACCGATTCAATTGCCAGGAGATGTCACGGGACTCCTTAGTGCACAGCGGGGGCTGGGAGAGGCTGTCACCTCGCCATCTCTGGCTCAGGAGGGGTTATCCAGCGCAGTGTAGTCTCAGGGGTTCAGACCAGTCTGACGTGACTCCTGATGGTGCCATCTTTTGGGATGCTCCTCCAGCCTGGCAAATCTCACTACCAGGAAGTGATTTTACTTTTCTTGGAAAAGCTAATGGAACATCTGAGTTCTGTCCCACGGGAGCACCCTAACCAACCCTACCTCCCCCTGCAGGGCCTCTGTTCAGAAGCTTGCCTTACAAAATGTGGTCACCCCCTTTTAGCCCCTGAAACTCCCCCGGTCGTTCCATCCTACTGGGCAGAGTTGAAGGGAATAAGCTTCAGGAAAAAACGTGGTGAGAGGTTGTGTGGAGGGCAAAGCGGCTGCCACCAACCTCTACATAAGAGCCTTCAGCCTGCAGAAGAATATACCCAGCCTTTAGCATGTGTGGAAACAGGGATACAGCAAGTGGAGAAGCCATCCTAAGCCAACTATGGGCTTAAAGAGCCCCCCTCCCTAGTCAGAAGGGTCCCGTATCAGCCTGGTCCAGCACAAACACTAGCCTGGCTGTGCAACGACGGCTAGTGGGGAGGACAGAATTCCTCCACAAAGCTCGCAGTGACTTGTCTGGCTCCGCAGAGGGGTGGGGCAGGGCTAATGCACAGATACCTAGGGTCAGTGTGCTCCTTTCCATGACGTTTTTGAATGGGAAGGGAAAATATAACCCTCAATCCACTGTGCCTGGCTGTGTCTGTACTAGGGATATGCAAGTGTAACCGCGTACACTGGGCTCATCAGTTCACGTTCATGGCTATACACACCCTCTCAGTACACATGAGGAGCTGGCTCCCTGCACTCACCAGCTGGAGAGCGGCCCTGCGCTGCTGACTCTGTATCAGAGGCAGCAGTGCAGGTGGGCAAGTGGGAACTGGTACGTGCTAGGAGCCAGCTTAAAAGCCAGCTTCCTGCGCACACCAGCTCCCAGGGAGCCAAGTGCCGCCTCATTTGTAACCACTGGAAATGTCAGTGGTTACACCATTACTTAATTATATGCATTTTAACAGCCACAGTCTGGACTACTTCTACACTGGTGTGCTTCTGGAGCGCAATACACTCTGTGTATGTACACCACAATCCCAGCCACACTGGGATGAGTGGAGCTGCTATTTTCCTGGTCACACCGTGGCAGTCTGCAGCCCCAGGAGTACTCACATTGCACAATTGTGTTTTGCTGGGCTGTTCATTCCCACCACATTCCCACTGTCCAAATATGCTGTGGTGCTTTACCCCAGGGTTATCAGAGTCCCCACTGTAATCCAGGAGGGAGAGAGACACTAGAACAATTAAATAAATGTATCCACTTGATTCCATCAAAGCTTTCCTGGCAATGATGGTGTGTTACCAGTGCAGGTTTAAGTAACAGTCTTTATGCAGCATCAATTTCATTCTGGGTGACCTAACGCCTAGCCCAGCTTACACAGAGGCATTTCACATTAGCATATTACCTCAGCGCTCAGACTCCTTGGGAAGTCCATTGGCCAGGAAGTCTTTCCAGCCCCTTGTGAAGCCTCTAAGGTCTTTGGCACATAAGTAGTCTTGGTACAGCCATCACTCTTCAAGCAGAGATTTTTGGCCAGCCTACCCCACCCAGCTCCGTCCAAACCTGGAGTGTGTGCACTATGGGCAAAACACAATTCTGTACACAGCTGACAGTTTCTATCACAAGACTTCTTTTGCTGTAGTCTCTTCTCTTTGCCCCTAAGGCGTAACTTGTCTTGAAAGGACTGGTGTTACTATGGGGCTTTGCTCAGTAAGCCCCAAGTCCTGGCTCTTGGATGCCAGTGTGCAGTGAGCGCACAGAATGCTCCCCACCAAGAGAGACAGAAAGAGGTGGTAGAGTCCACTACCATCAACCTCTTGCAACCCTACTCTTCAGTTCACCTGAACAGCCAGGAAAAACAACCCTGAACTGCCTTCTCCCTGGCTTGTAGCTGGGCTTCTCCTTCAGAACATTTCTCCTTTCCCTATAGGAGTTCAATGGACTTCTGTGACTCCATGGCCAATTTATCAAACAGTTACACAAAGCCAGGGTCATCTGGGACTTTGCATGGTGGAGTGGGTGTGTGCACACATTGTATAACAGCAGTTCAACCCTGGAGCCCAGCACATACACAAAGGTGCCAATTTATTTAACAGTTGGAAGCCACAGGTCCCGGGTAACGTAGAAGGCAGAAAGAGAAGAGCCTTTTTCAACTAGTCACGGTCCTGGGAGAAGACAGGGATGACCACACATGCCCTATTTCCGTAACAGAAGCAACCCTCTCTGCACTAGTGTGCATGCCACCCAGCCTAACCTGTTCGCTTGCCAGCTGGCTCCCAACAATCTAGGGGTCAGAGGCAGCTTGCATAGTATGTAAGCTCTCAATTGGTCAGAACCAAGGAATTGGGAATGCATAAAATACTCTTCCAGCACAAAGATTTTGCTATGCCATGAAGGAAGCAAATAAATTCTCAAGCAAGAAGTGAATGGCTGGAGTACTGGTCTAGCATTCGTAAGACCTGCATTCTATTTGTGGCTTGACCACTGATCTTTGGGGTATTATCCTTGGATATGTTATTTCCCCTCTCTGGGGCTCTGCTTTTCCTCATCTGTCCTGTGCCAGGCATCGGGAGGCCCTGACGCCTTCAGGTGCTACAGCAGTACAAATAAATAATACAATGAAGTACAGATATTTCAACTGATTCAGAACATTGGAAGGTGCTACTTATTTTAAAACAACTACACTTACAATGCTGAACTCGGGTTCTATGGAATCTCAACTCTGACTAGCAATCCCATCCTTTGTCCACCTGAAACCACCTTCCTTCCAGTCACTGCACGCCAGTTCCAATAGCCACAAGCCCTCACCGCATCTACTGTGAAGAGAAATTAAGAACCACTGTCTACTAGCACAGACTCTCCTGGTCATCCAACGGTGCACAGCTCGCCCTTATTCACCACAGAACACCCACCTCATCTAAGACTCCACCAGAAGCCAGAAAAACCCACTCGCTACATCCTGTAACTAGAAGCCTCCCTGGCTACCTCATTCAGCCCCACCCAGCAACAGCACTTCCCGTCAAAAGCTCCCTGAGCTGCATCTTTGTGCCATCCACTCCCCGTACTGGGAACAGACAGCCATTTCACAATGGCTGGCGCATGCTGAGACACACGTCGGCCAGAGCCCATTGGCAGTGGTGGCAGGAGACCAAGTTGTTGTATTTGGGCGTACGCTCACACAACACAGCATTCTAGGCGAAATGAAATGCACAGGCAGTAACTATGTAGAGGCTCAGAGAGGAAGGTACCATTAGGAAATGGAAGATTTACTGCAAGCTCACAAAAAAGGCCTGGTACATTTAACCATTTCGTTATGCAGGGCTCTTACCACTATCAGAGGAGTCTTCTTTTTTTGAACGCATCTTTCTTTTTCTCCCACGTTTTCCCTTCTTAGGCTCCCCTCCATTCTCTCCTTCTACCCCATCTGGGCCAGAGCAGTTGTCTGCATGTCTAGCCATGGTGTTCTAATCAGGGAAAGGAAAATAAACACTGAAATCAAAAGCAGGTAGCAGGCCTGTGGTTACAAGCCAGGCTGTGCTTCAGCTAGAGAAATAAGCCAATAAACAAATCCCCACTTAAGCAGAATCCAGAGGAGCCAGACGTTGTGTGAACATTGGTTTATTATGAGTTTTGTCATGGGCTGTCTTCAGTTTGGCTAGAGGGTTACTGCTGCAAAGAATACGCTAACCAAGGGCGAGCTCGGTCCAGCTTCCCTACTCAAACACATGCTTATAGCTTCCTGTTCTACGGAACAGCATCCCACCCTTACAGAGATCAATTCCAAGTGTGTCTGCTCGCTTACCCTGCGAGTGAACGTTTTCCCACACTTCGAACAGACAAAGGCAGCAGGGACAAAGTTGGGGTCATGGTAACGTTTGAAGTGCATATCGAGGAGCTGTTTCTGACGGAAGGTTTTATCACAATGGCTACAGGCGTAAGGCTTTTCTCCGGTATGGGTACGTTTGTGCATGATCATATGCCGCTCCTGTCATTGAGAGAGACCCAGTCAGAAGAGTAAGCAGAACACAGAGCTGTGATGAACATGAACTCAGACATCCGAACACAAAAGGGTAGCGGCTGTCATCACTAGGGGAAGAGCTCTCCAATATTTCACTGAGAGCAGAATCTGACAGGAGAAGAGGACAGTCCTTCAGCTGAAGTGGGACATCTCCCTCCATGCTACATTCAGCTTCCTAACTGCAGTCTCTTTCCTCTATGCCAGTCAATACTCCAGTGAAATGACAGACATATCCCATTCCAGGTCTTCTTTAGAAGGTAACTTCTGTAGAGACCTTAGCTGGAAGGCGAAGGGCAGAGTAAAGGCACTACACTTTCCTGTATCAGTGCTTAACAAACTAAGGGTGCAACACAAGTTGTGTATCTTATTTAGATTCTGTTTTGAAATAGCTTATTTTAAAATGTGGTGCATCTACACAGCGCCCAATTACAAAACACACTATTCTGAGACATCCCGTAACCCTTGTGGAACAAGGGTTACAGGGATGCCAAAACAGCGCCCCTGTTATTTTGAAAAACATTTCAAAATAATGGGCAGCTTGTTAAGACGAGGGGTAGTAGTACCTCCGGTAGCCTGAAATAGCTGCGCTGTGTAGAGGCACCCTAAAAGAGGCGGCATCTAGTTTGATCAGCTCTAAGATTAGTTGTTTCCTTCTTGAATGGCTGGCTGAGAATGCTGCTGTGGATGGTCACAAAGGCTGTGTGAACAGCCAAGCTCTCTGGAATCACTGCTAGGCTTACCTGTCTGCAGGCGTAATCACACTGGTCACACTTGAAGCGCTTCTCATTCTTGTGAGATTTCTGATGCTGGATGAGAGCGTATCGCTCGTGGAATACAGCATCACAGTAACGACACTTCTTGCCCTGCTCAATGTAGGAATGCTGCTTTCTCAAATGAACACC